CCTGCTATTCCCCTGCTGGGGATCTTCCCCAAAGAATTAAAAGAATCATACCACAGTGATATATGTGCACCCATGTTCATAGCAGCACAATCTGTAATAGCTAAAACTTGGAAACATCCCAAATGCCCATGAACTGGAGACTGGATAAAGAAGATGTGGTTTTTTAATAAAATGCAGTAGTACTCAGCCATAAAAAATGAGAAATCAGAGACATTTACGCTAAATGGATGCACATTGAAGCGATACTCTTAAGTGAAATAAATAGGACACACATGTATAAATACCAAATAGGAGTGATGTATTTCAAGCCCTAAAAGAAAACAGCCTCCAACCCAGATTGATGTATCCTGCAAAATTATCTTTCAACGTGGATGGAGAAATAAGATACTTTCATGACAAAGAGCAACTTAGCAACTTCATGAATACCAAACCAGCAGTCCAAAAATTTTAGACAATATCCTAGGAAAAGATGAGGATCACAACCCCAGGTAGCCCAGCAGAATGATTCTGTCGGGCGCAACAAGAAATTAAATGCAAAGGGGGAGAATCCTACAAACAGAAAAAGTCATGACAACGATAAGTCAATTATGTATGAGTTATTACCATCAATATTAATGGTCTCAATTCACCAATCAAAAGAAACAGACTGGCAGAATGGGTTAAGAAGCAAGACCCAACAATATGCTGTATACAAGAAACACATTTAATTAAAAAAGAAACTCATAGACTGAAAGCTACAGGGTGGAAAACAATACTCCATGTGACAGGAACCTGAAAAAAAAAAAAAGCAGGAGTAGCTATCCTCTTTGCAGATCAAGTGGATCTGAAACAAAAATCTGAAACACTCTATTCCCAAGAATTCAGATAAGGAATACTCAACTTGTATGTACACATCTATTGTGAACATGTGTTTTCATTCCTCTCAAGTCAAAACTTAAGAACAGGACTTTTGGTTCTTAATAGTAATACAAGAAATTTCTATATTGTTTTCCAAAATGCTATTATCATTTTACATTCACATTAGCAGTTTTAGAAAGTTCTTACTGGTTCACAGCTAAATGTTCTAAATGTCACAGCTGACATTTGTTCTTTTAAAACTTTTAAATTCATCTCCCTGAGTATATAATTCAATCTTGTTATTGGGCTGATTAGTATTTTTCTGATTCTAGTGTTGCACACCTTTCCTTGTGCTGTACTGGCTATTTATCGACTTCTCGTGCCTACTTTTTTTTTTTGGTACCGGGGATCCAACTTGGGTCTTTGCACTTGTGCAGCAGGTGGTGAAACCACTGAGCTAAATCCCTAGCCTTGTGTCTACTTTTTAATTGGGCTGTCTATTAATGAGCTGTAAGAGTTCTTTATATATTCTGGTTATAGGTTATGTGAATTATAAATATGGTTTAAGGGACTACTTTTCATTTTAACGATGTCATTTAAAGTTCTAAATTTTGATGGAATCTCATTTATCAATTTTTTTCTTTTATACATCATGTTTACGTCCTACGAAATTCTTGCCTACCCTAAATTCAAACATTTGCCCTTACAACTTCTTCTTAAAGTTTTATAGTTTTAGTCTTTCATATTTAGGTTCATAGATCCTTTCAAGTTATTTTTATGTATGGAAATAAATGGTTGAGGTTAATTTTTTATATACGGATACCAGGTGTTCTAGTGC